GTAGGTGGCGTTACGTGTCGAGGTCGTGCAGGTGATGACGTGCGTGGTGGTGGATGGATCCTGACCGCAGTTATTTGGCGAATGCTCGATTGTGACACTCGGTGTCGGTACTCTGTTAGGTGTTTAAGACAGTGCGCCATAGGCATACACGACGCCTCGTACTTGGCCTCAGGTCTCAGGCCTACTTTTCGAGGTTAATAATTGATTATCGCTACCTTTTTAGCAGCTCGTCTTTCCACGCGTTTTCTGTCTTAATTATTCATCAATCAGGGCTTCTACTGGAGCCGAGAGTGCTTTCGCCCCGTTCGACGCTGTTATGGCATTTCACATATCAGATCAACGTACGTTTCGTATGGTCGGGCCGACCGCGTACTGCTTCAAAGGACTGCTCGGCCGTGTGTGTGTGCGCGCGCGCGCCTGCATGAAGGACACACAGGGACAAAATTTAAAGTGAGTTTGTGCCGTCCTTTTACCGCAGCTTCATGGCATAGACAACCTCTCCCGCTCCGTCTCTCCCACCCGACACGCAACACGCGATCAAAAATTGCATCGCGTTTGCAAATAGTGTGTGCGACTATCGGCAGCTGGCCGCGGCTATTCGCAGCGGGGGATGCGGTAGACGATAGATTGCAGTCGACTGCTGTGCCCCAAGCCACTGTCGTGTCTCGCTCGGCAAGGTGTGGTCAACTAGGGTTAAAAATAAAAAGCCGTGTCGTAAAGTAAGCAGGGGTGGGGGGTGAGGACAACCAGGCCAGACATTGGGTCAAATAGGGCAGCGTTTCTGGTATTCTTTTTAATCTTATTTTAAAACCATTAATGTCAAAAATTCACAATTGTGGTTGATTTTGAATAGATGTATCGCTCCATGTAGCTGAAACGTGTCGATATGCGAATGCGAATGACGCATCTCAGCTGTTCTGTTGGGTCGACCGCGCCAACGACTGGTCGCCCGCTCGCTAGCTCGGGCCGCCCCAACGATCAGCATCGCTGCTCAAAATGCATATTTCATTTGATTAAAAATGGAATCGCCGGTCTTTCAATTACCTGCTGTAAACCACAGCGGTCCGGTAAATGACAACACCATGCGTGCCAGCGTGCCGCCCCCGCCCCTCTCTCGCTACTCCCACCCCATCCGCCCACCCCATTCCAACCCCAACGCTCTCCCTCCAACACTCCCTTCCGCTCAACCCCGCACCACCCCTTCTCTGGGTGGCATATGAGAGGTAATGCATAACCTGGAAAACGAAATACGAGGCAATAGGACACACACAAACACGCGCGCGCGCCAAAAAAAAACACAAAAAAAACTGCAGTCAACCTAATTACTTCATCCATCGTCAGATGTTACTGTTGTAAATTGTAAACAATATAGATGAAGTCGTGGTAGCTTTTTGGACAACCAAATAATGAGTAACATTTTAGTCGATATTTGAAAACACGCAAAGTAAATTTACATTTGCCAATTAAAATCTAGGCGTTCACTTGCAGTTCGAAAACGCCCCTGCGCGCATTATTGCGAAAAGGGGAATATGAATCGCGCGAATCACATCGAATCACTAAATACGCGATGATTTGGTTTCTGTAGCGCCCGTTTTCTGTCGATGTGTTTCAGCGGGCCAGCACCACCAGTTCCGGGCCATCGCGCTGGGACAGCGGCCCTTCCTCGAGTCGCCCTTCACGCACCTCCGGGAGCTGGAGACCTTCAGGAGAAAGTCGGAGTTCAAGAGCCCAACCCCCACCGGCACGCCACACGGTACGTGCGAACAGTTTTTTGTTCTTGTTGTGATGTCTTTCTGTATGCATGTGCGTTCGCTTTCTTGCGTACACTGGAAAACCGAATGGGGAAAAAAAGTTTCAAAGTTTTTAAAAAATGAAATTTTGAAGCCACGACATGTACGCCAACGTCTCGCCTTACAGGCTTCGCGATATCTCACGAAACAGTTACGCTGCGACTCGCCTGGGGCACATATTGCTAGGCCTTAGGCGCTGACACCTGAGACGAGTTAATAGGAAAGTATACT